TTTGGTGGTTAATTGGTGATGAGCATCTCACAGATTTTCTGCCTGAGCTAGCTTCTGTTAGAAATGTCTTAGGAGAAGCTGGACGCTGGTGGCTCACACTTGTAATCCCAGCTACTCAGGAGGCTGAGATCTGAGGATCGCGGTTCAGAGTCAGCCCCAGCAACAAAGTCTGTGAGACTCTTATCTCCAATTAACCACCAGAAAACTGGAAATGGCACTGTGGTTCAGTTGGTAGATTGTTTGCCTTGAGCTGAAGAGCTCAGGGACAGCACCCAGGCCCAGAGTTCAAGCCCCATGACTGACCACCACCACCAACAAAAAAGAAATGTCTTAGGATATTGGGGTGTCATGTAGAAATAAGTACACCAACTTGAAAGGAATTTGGCAAGGTGAAGAGTGTGCTACCTACAGGAAGACAAGTAAACAAGTGCTCTAGACAGGCGGTCTACCTTGGTTATATTCCTGATGTTTTACTGCCCTTTTTTTTTTTTTTGATTGGTCAGGATTAGGTTCACAATCTTTCATGATTGACTAGTTTGAAAGGGGTTAAAAGTTTACCTGAGGAATCAACCAAAACCAGGATACATGGCCAAAACTGACAGTAAAACATTTTTTACTGAGCTGCTGCTCTATACTTGAGCTATACCTTCATCTCATAGAGAATCAGTTCTTATAAAAGGATGTGGCTTAATTAAAATGGCTTCTTGTAAGACAGTAGCTACCATTAAAATGGCCATGCTATGTCAAGGAATCAATTTGACAGAAAGATTCTAACTCGTACACTTTCATGAGCCATTCTCAGATTTCATCGTTCTGAGTAGGTAGAATTACAAGTGTGAGCTCCTGATGCCTGGCTCAAAAAATTTTTTTTTCTGTTGTTGCCATAACAAATTACCACAGATTGAGTCCTAGAACAACATACTAAAAGAAAAATGTTATGATGCTGATGACCAAACCCAGGATGTGGGACATGCAAGTCAAGCACTGTACAACCAAGTTATATCCCCAGCTCCCAGCAGAAGTTTCTTTTATAGTCTGTAGGTTAGAAGTCTGACACAAATTGTATTGTGTTTTTTCTGGAGTCTTTTTATGGCTGACCAAGAAGCTACCCTCCCTCATTTCTCTTAGTCTGTCTTCTAAAGCAGTGTAGGTTGAATCCATTCATATTTGAATTTCCCTAGTATCATCTCTTTCTGTTGTAAGTGGAAAAGAAAATGTTCTCAGTTTCAAGGACTCGTGATTCAATTGGGCTCATGAGGAGAATCTAGGATAATTTTTCACCTCAAGGGTGTGTTGTGTGTGTGTGTGTCTGTGTGTGTGTGTGTCTGTGTGTGTGTGTGTGTATCTAGGATAATTTTTCACCTCAAGGGTGTGTTGTGTGTGTGTGTGTGTGTGTGTGTCTGTGTGCCGGTCCTGGGGCTTGAACTCAGGACACACTGTCCCTGAGCTTATGTGTTCAATTAATGCTCTACCACTTGAGTTACAGCTCTACTTCTACACTTTTTGGTAGTTAATTAGAGATGAGTCTCTCAGACTTTACTGCTTGAGCTGGCTTCGAACCACAGTCCCCAGATCTCAACCTCCTGAATAGCTAGGATTATAGGAGTGAGCCAGTGACACCTACCTTCACCTTAAATGTTTTTTTTCCTCAGTCATATCTTTTTTTAAAGTCCCTTTTGTCATGCACAATCACACATTGACAGGATCTGGGAATTAGATGTGGATAACTTTGTGGGGGACATTAATCTGCTCACCACAGACTCCAAATATCTTTCTAGAATACTATTTTAGGGCTGGGATTTAGCTCAGTGGCAAAGCGCTTGCCTAGCAAGTACAACGTCCTGGGTTCGATCCCCAGTACCAAAAAAGAAAAGACAAAAAAAATAGAATGCTATTTTACTAATCTAAGATTTTATGGTTTGAATAAGTGCTGAAAAATTACATTGCTCTAGTTCTACTTGTTTTTCCACATGACAAACTTCACCACAATTACTTAAAATTGCTTATGCATCAGTGGGTCAGTAGGCCTAGGTGGGATTCAGATGAGTGTCCCTGATAACCTTCTGGACTTGATATTCCTCTATGAGTTTGCAGGTCAGTTAAAAATAATTGTCTTATTTGGCCTGGGGCTATATGGGGGCAGTTTTGTTCCACCTGTCTTTTATCCTCCTACCTTTGAGCTCGCTGAGGCATGTTCTTCATGAAAGTAGCAGAAATACAAGCATGAATGTAGAGACTTAGGAAACTTCTTCAGGCTTAAGTTTATGGCAGAGAAACTGTCATTTCTTTATTCTGTCAACCTAGTCATATGGCTGGGTAAAATGTTCTATCCCTTTAGGAGGAAGAGGAAGTGCAATCACTTGAATGGAGAGGAAGAGGGTAAAGAACTCTCCCTCTATAAAGCCCAGATTGAACTCACCTCCGTGACTTCCTCCTTCACTAGAAGACTTTTTTGCTTTCTTTATTTTTGGTTATAAGTTAGTGATGCTAGTTTATGTCTAGTCCCTCAAGCCAGAAACCTTAGAAATATTTTACTCTATTCTTCCTTTTTCCTACCTTCTATGTTATGAATATTTTCTATTTTTATCATCTTGTTCAGCTTTATTACCATCACTTCAGCCTCTCATAGCTCCTTGAGATGAAAAGGAAGGAATCACCTTGATTATCTCTAATCCTACTTTCTTCAGATCCAGCTCTTTTATTGCAGCCAGAATCTGCACCAGAAATCTAGATTTCATTCCTGCTCACTGGCTTCTCTTTGCCTCTAGTGGAGACCATTTGTGATCTAGATTTTCCAACTCCATCTTCTCCTATTTCCTGCTTTCTAGTTGTTCTTAACCTTTTAAATTCAAGAGTCTGTTAATTATGGCAGTGGGTCATATCTGGTCTGTAAAGTTATGAGTTAAGAAGAATATTTACTTCTTTAAATGTTTAGAATACAGAATAATATTTTGTCATATAGGAAATAGGAAGTTCAATTGAGTGTCTATAAATACGTTTTTCTGGAACATAGCTATGCTTATTTATTTTTGTATTGCCTATGGCTGCTTTCACAGTATAGCAGCAGTTGAGTCATTAAAATAGAGATCATGTGACTCACAGAGGTAAAGCATTTACTGTCCCATTCTTCATAGAAAAAGTTGTCCAACTGCTGCTCAATCATATAGAACTTAAAATAACTCCTTTTATATACCATTTGATTTCATGATTCAGTACATTTTATTATGTTGTTTCTTTGCCTGGCTAACTCTAGGTGGTGTGTGTGTGTGTGTGTGTGTGTGTGTGTGTGTGTGTGTGTGTGTGTGTGTGTGTGTGTGTGTGTGTGTGTACTGTCCGTGTGTGTGTGTGTGTGTACTGTCCGTGTGTGTGTGTGTGTTGGTACTGTTCGTGTGTGTGTGTGTGTGTGTTGGTCCTGGGCTTGAACTCAGGGCCTGGGTGCTGTCTCTAAGTGTTTTTGCACCAGGCTAGCACTCTACCACTTTGAGTCATAGCTCCACTTTTAGCTTTTTTGGTAGTTAACTGGTAAGAGTCTCACAGATTTTCCTGCTTAGGTTGGCTTTTATCCATGACCCTCAGATCTCAGCCTCTGAGTAGCTAGGATTACAGACATGAGCCACTGGCACCTGGTTTTACTCCAGTTTTTTAGTAACAGTTTCATTAAAATATAATTATATACTGTATAATTCATAGACTTGTACAACCATTGCCACAATATTTTATTTAGAACATTTTCATTCTTCCAAAATAGCCTGTCCTCTTCATTCTTCCAACCTTTTTCCTAGCCCTAGAAACACTAAATCTACTTTTAGTCTCTTTAGCATATTTCTGATGCTGGAATTTGAACTCAGAACCTGTGCTTGTCAGGGAGATGTTTTACCACTTGAATCCATTTTTACTCTAGCTCTCTTTTGGATAGAGGATTACATTTTTTTTTGCCTGAGGCCAGACTAGAATTATACTCTTTATGCCTATGACTCTTGTGTGCTTGGGATTATAGGCACACTCACCATGCTCATTTATTGATTGGGTTGGGATCTTGTTAACTTTCTGCCTTGTTGGCAGTCCTTATGATCTCTGCTTCCTAAATAGCAAAGATTTTAGGTATGAACCACTGTGTTCAGAGTTGCCATTCTTGATCATTTGTATAAATGGGATAATACAATATGATTTTTCTTTTTTGTGACTGATGTCTCTTAGATACCACATTTTACATAGCCATTTATCAGTTGGTGAACATTTGTATTGCTTTTATCTTTTGGCTATTATAAATAATACTATCATGAACATTTATTTAAGAGTTTTTATGCGGATATGTATTTTATTTCTTTTGGATGCATATCAAGGCTAAGTTCATATACTTCACAATTGACTATAAAAGTCATGTCAGTTCTGAAAGACATGATCTTTTCTAATCTCCAAGGTGGGTTAAATTTCTTCATAAGACTATGATAAGGCTCTCATAGTATTGATGGCATTACTTTGAACTTATCTGTCTGCCAGTACATTTCCTCCAGGCCTTTGTAAGTATCTGAAGAGCACCATCAGCGTCTTTTTTTTTTTTAATCAGTGTCTTTAACTTCTACTGACTATATCAAAGTATACCAAAGTTTACTTAATATGTGTTGAAAGAGAACAAAAAAAAAATCTATGCGCTGTTATCCTTGTTATTTGCTGTCTTACATCAATTAGCAATAGTCAATTAAAAAACATTCCTAGAGCCAGGCGCTGGTGGCTCACGCCTGTAATCCTAGCTACTTAGGAGGCTGAGATCTGAGGATCTCGGTTCAAAGCCAGGGCAGGAGAGACCGTGAGACTCCTATCTCCAATAAACCACCAGAAAACCGGAAGTGGCGCTGTAGCTCAAGTGGTAGAGCGCTCGCCTTGAGCTAAAAAGCTGAGGGACAGCGCCCAGGCACAGAGTTCAAGCCTCATGACCGACAAAAAAAATTTCCTAGAATACATGTTCTTGTAATTGATCTTGAATGTATCTTTTTTTTAAGGCGTGAAAAGAAAACAAGAAAAGATACCAAAGAAAAAACATCTGCTGAAAGACTAGATGAGATAGAAAAAATAAAATCATACCGCTACATGGAAGGTGAACCTGAGGATGATGTCTATTTAAAACGCTTATACCCAAGGCGGATATATGAGGTGGACAAAGCTATCCACCTCCTGAAGAAATATCAAATTCTGGACTTTACTAATCCAAAGCAAGGTGTTTATCTTGATTTGACATTGGATATGGCACTTGGGAAAAAGGTATGTAGACCTCATTAAATAAGTTTATTTGGGAAATGGCTGTATGAATGTTCTTTAAAATTCTTACCTTCCATAATAATTTTTTTTAAAAGTTCATTACTAATATACTGTCTTGTGGGTATGATTGTTGCAGTGGGTCATCCTGTGTCCTTGTTTCGGCATTTTGTTATTCCCCTTCACCTCCCCAAATTAGACAAATGTGTTTACAAGATGCAAGACACCAAAATCAAGTACATTGACAACAGGGGATATACCATACAGAGGAAACAACAAAAAAATCACACAGTACATAAAAACAACAGCACAGAAAGACCTCTTGTATCCATGTCTTGGGTTTCATTTCACTAAGCATCATCTCATATGTACGTAGCTTTTGAGCTTTTCTGCTCATCTGATAAAATTATCCTAGATGTATACTTTACAACTTTGTGGGGGTGGGGAGAGGAGTGAGAGAGATGGAGGAGGGAGTGGGGGAACAGGGAAGGGGTAAACATGCTCAACAAGAAATGTACTCCTTGCCTTACTCATGTAACTGTAACCCCTCTGTACAGCATCCTTACAATACAATAAAATTAAAAACAAAAAAAATTCGCATGCACTTTTTGTGCCTCAGTATGGAAATATTTGCTTGTTTTTTAGTTTTCCAAATATAATACCGAAAACACTGGAGAATTGCTGCACATATATCTCCTGTTCTCCTGAATATCACTAGTATAACTTTCAACAAAGGTAGTGTTAAAATTAATTGAGTTATCATTGTTGTTTTAGAAATGTGACCTAAGCTGTCTGGGTTGTGTTCCTTTGTAAAAGAGGGCTTTGCATTAGCTATATTGTGTTCCTTGGAGTCTTGAGACTAAGTTGTCATAGATGAGGTTGTGAGCTCCTCACTCTTAACCTCAATCAGAGCCTCTCTGTTTTGTCTCTTTATATTGGACTTCTTCAGAAGATGTTTCTTCATGAAACAAGCAAGAAATTAACACTGCATTATCATAGAGGTCTTAAAGTACTCTTGAGCCCTAAATTTTCTAAGTTTCTCCCATAAGAAATCTAATTTTTATTTTTATTTTGTGCTGATCCTGGGGCTTGAACTCTATACCCAGGCACTGTCTGTAAGCTTCTGTGCTCAAGGCTAGTGTGCCTAAGAATTTGTCTTTTTGTCTGAGAAATCCTCAGGAGGATGTCTCCCTTTAAAATTAGTTTTTTTCTAAAAATACAATCCTTCAATGCTTTATTTGAGAAACAATCCCTTTTCTTTCTTCCAAATCCTAAGGCCACTCAAAACTATGTAGTTTATAACTTGTTTTCATATGCAGTCTCTAAGAAGGCTTAGAGGCAGAGCTTAACAGTAGCTTACCTGCCTAGAAACTCAAGGCCCTATGTCTACATCCTAGTACCACAAAAAAAAGAAAAAAAAAGGCAAAAAGGAAAGGAAAGAAAAAGAAATCTTTGGTAGAACGGCTCATATGGTAGAGTGTCTGTAAATAACTACATGAACAAATGAATAGATGAGTGAATGAATGAAGTCTCCCTGAGGGATCTGAACCTCATGTCTACATAGGTTCTTGATCAAATTAACAGAGCATTTTAGTTCTGAGGCTATCTTTACCTGTATTAGGGTTCCTAATACAGCATTTCATTACTTATTCTGGATTTTCCAGTTTACTTCTCAAGCATATCTGAAAGTGATGATAATACAGGATATTTCAAAATAGACCCTCGTAGAAGAACCTTTCAGATATTGGTATTCTATGTTTAATTGTTTAGAGCAGTCTTGGACCTTGGGGGGTGACAGATCAACTGGATATTATCTGTTGTTCATTGTACACAGCTATACTACTCATGTTTTCCTTTTATTAGAAATTATTAACATTTAGAAATGTTTTTCAAAAAATTAATTCTAGGTAGCAAAGTGTTAACATCCATAACTGCTACATTGTAGCAGTGCTGGGCAGACACAGATGTGTAAATATACTTGTTAACATTTGAGACACATGAGGACTAGAATCTGCTGGACCAAATGCCATTGAAGTATGAGGCTGGAGAGACATAATTTTGGTTTCCTAAAAAAGAATGACAATACTTTGAGCTTTGAATTGTAATCAGTGACTTAACATGAGGACCTGGTGTGGAATTAAGGAACTGAAAACATGAATCAAGTGTGGTGGTATATACCTGTAATCCCAGTGTTAGGGAGGCTGAGGCAGGAGGCTACAGAAAAGCAGAATGACATCCAATGAAAACAAAACAGAAAAAAGCCCAAGAACTAAATGTGTCAATTCTGTTTTTTTATGACTGGAAGAAATAATAGGAAAGATGAACTTTTTATTTTCCCTCTATTGTATGTTTAGAAAAAAGTGGAGCCATTTGCAAGTGTTATTAGTTTTCCATACCCATTTGCTTCAGAGATGAATACGGTTGCTGTATTTACAGGGGTAAGTAACTTTGGTCAACTATTTATATAATTTAATTTGTTTTCAAGTCATATTAATGATTAGACTAACTGAATAGAATTGGAGAAAATTTTCGTATTCACCTCAGTCTTCCATTTGGAGCTGAACACAGATGAGAATGAGCTCATGTGGAACAGGACTCTGGTCACTACTGGCCCACTACATTGTATTTCTCATAAGAAATGAAAGTGAAGTATAGATTATTCCTATGGAACTTTTTCCTAGTCAAACTTTTTTGCTCAAACAGCAGTAAGGTTATTTTACAGCAGTGTGATCACAAGCCACAATTAAAAATTATCTTTGCTGTCTGCCAGTGGCTCATGCCTATAATCCTAGCTTCTTTGAAGGCTGAGATCTGAGGATTGCAGTTCGAAGTCAGCCCAGGAAGGAATGTCTGTGAGACTCTTACTTACAATTAACTACCAAAAAAATCATGAAATGGAACTGTGGCTTAAGCAGTAGAGTGCCAGCCTTGAGCAAAAAAACTAAAGGCACAGTGCCCAGGCCCTAAGTTCAAGCCTTACTATTGGCTCACACACATACACGCACACACACACACAAAAGGCAAACTACCCTTGCTATAGAATCAGCAAGGTCCAGTATGAACCTTGCTGTGTAGACTTTGTATGAACATTTGTTTTTAACATGTTAGTGAATTTGTGTTTTGTTTCTTTTCCATTAAAGTTCAAATGTGAGACATGTATTCTCTTCCTTACTGTTAAGGAAGAAACTACTTTCTTCTCAGAAAAGAGGCGAATATAGTTGTTGGAATGCTACAACATTTTAGTAACAGGCAGGGAAAAAGTTTTGCAGCAAAACAAAATGACAAATGGAACATGTTGAAAAATAAACTTTAAGCTTTTGAGAAATGACTAAAATTTGGTTTTTTAATTTCTTTAAAAATTGCTGGACATCAGTGGCTCATACCTGTGATACTAATTATTTGGGAGGCTGAGATTGGGAGGATTGCAATTAATGAGGCGAACTTGGGCAGAAAAGTTCATGAGTTTTCAGTGGAGAACTGTATATAGTGGTGCATGCCTGTTACCTAGCTAGATAGGAAACCTAACATAGTGGATTGTACCCAGGGAGTGAGGCCCTATTTCAAAAATAACCAGAAAAATTAGGCCTGAAAGTGGGGTTCAATAGCAAGAGCACCTGCCTAGCAAACTTGAGGCTTTCTGAGTTAAAAATCCCAGTTCTACCACTACTAAAGAAAGCCTCATGTTGATTTTGTAAAATGTCTGGAAGTTAGCAAAACTTACTATATTTGAAAGGTGTTAAATACATTTATTATATTTACATATATATATATATATAATTTGTAATATCTTTTGGAAGGCAACATGTTGTTTGGTAAGTTCTATCACTTAGTAGGTTCCTAATTTGCCATTTTTGGTAGGATACACTTAAATGAAACATTGTCAGTAGGAAACACTTTAATGACCTACAAGCTGAATTTGTTTTGAATGAAACGTATTTTTATTCTAAAATGTAACATTATTTGTTACAAAATACTTGAAAATTGCTGAGTTTGTTTAAAACTAAATATTGATATTCAAACTATAACATTTTGGTAGAATGAATTAGAGATGAAAATTGCGGAAGAAAATGGAGCTGCGTTTGCCGGAGGAAGTAATCTGATTCAGAAGGTACTGTGTTTTCATGCTTATTAGTTACAGAGATTGTTCGGTTATCTTTGCCATCCACTTATTATTACATTTGGAACTTAATCACTAGGCTTACATTATTTATAAATAGTATTGCTTCTAGGGCAAGGGAAATTTTCCTACTTTTTTTCAATCTCAAAATCAAGCTAAGATTTTGTGTGAGATAAAAAAATAGCTCACATGGATGTTCATGGTTTCAAGATCAAGTATTTGTTTTGCTTCCTTGAAGTGAAAGTATGATGTGTGTGGCAGCCATAAACTACTGTATCTGACCTCTGTGTGCTCCTTTTGGTTCTTTTGAGCATTTATACCCATTAGGCTAGCAACACAGGCTCAGCCATGGTGGCTGATAAATAGGAATGTTGCATGCTTGCACAAAATAGTTCTGTGGACCGTTGTTGAAAAGAATAGCATCTTTTTTAAGAGATTGGAAAAATAGGCACATAGTTATTCCCAAAAATATTACAAAAGGTATTTCTTAATATTCTTTATAATATCCTCTTCTAAATCTAATCATTTAGATTATGGATTATGGATTTTATAGATTTGGATTTTGAGTGAGGGACTAGGGAAATGTGTCTTGAAAATGTATCCTTTGGCACATATCCAGATTTTTATCTGAACTTATAATTTGGTTCATATTTTCAGGAGACCCAGCAATGCTAGTAGTTTGTTTATTCTTTTCACTCCAGTACTATGTTAAATTTCCTGGAGGCTTAGGAATCAATTTTAAAGAGACTTTCTAAAACAAGTCTTAGAGTCAGAATTAGTGGGAAGCAGGAAGAGGTTAGGTTAACATAGGTCCTAGGACAAGTCTGGGGCTGTATCCTATTCTTTCTGGCATATTACTTTGGTTTTAAAAGAATTATTGAAACATCCTGTTAGATGGAATCTTCACCATGTAAACATCACAGGCACACATATAAACTCAGGTTGCCTGGTCTAATATATGTAGGCTGTATGGAATGGACTAAACTACTAGATTGCAATCCTACAGCAGATTACTGTAGTGAGTTTTATAGATCATTGTATGTGCTGTGCACTTCTGCTTAACTAATCATAGAAAAAATAAACATTTCTCACCTGTATGGTATCATTATGGAAGTATCAGCATATGTGTCTGCCATCATTGGCTAGATTTTTCTTTTAGTAATTGGCCACCTGCCTTTTTTTTTTTTTTTGGTCGGTTGTGGGGCCTGAACTCTGGGCCTGGGCACTGTCCCTCAGCTCTTCAGCTCAAAGCTAGCACCCTACCACTTGAGCCACAGTGCCACTTCTGGCTTTTTCTACTTAGGTGGTACTGAGGCATCGAACCCAGGGCCTCATGCATGCGAGGCAAGCATTCTGCCACTGAGCCACCTTCCCAACCCCTAGCAGCCCTCAGGTGTTAAGAAGTTACTTCTCAAAGAAGAAAAGGTGATGGAAGAGAAAATGTTACAAAACCTTCAGTTCAATAAAGGAAGTATATTTGAGGAAGTAAACCAAATAAGGAAATTAAACACACTTTGAACTTATGTGCTATATAAGATATTCCAGGAACAGAATTTCTTTTTAGGACCCCCAGAACTGTGCTTGGACCTGTATATGTTACTGAACCAGCATATGCCTGCAGGTTACTCAGTGGTTTCTTTGAAAGCTTACTATTCTAATGCTAGTAGGAATTCAGTTTATATAAATACTTCTTTAAATTTTATTTTTATTTATTTATTTTTGTCACTCATGGGCTTGAACTCTGGGCCTGAGCACAGTCACTTGGCTCTTCAGCTCAAGGTGAGCACTCTACCATTTGAGCCCCAGTGCCACTTCCAGTTTTCTGGTGGTTAATTGGAGATAAGAGTCTCATGGACTCATTATTTTGCCCATGTAATTGTAACTCTTCTGTACAGTATTTGTTTGTTTGTTTGTTTTTGTTTTGTTGGTCCTGGGGCCTGAACTCTGGGCCTAGGCGCTGTCCCTCAGCTCTTCAGCTCAAGGCTAGCATTCTACCACTTGAGCCACAGCGCCACTTCTGGCTTTTCTGCTTATGTGGTACTGAGGAATCGAACCCAGGGCCTCATGCATGCGAGGCAAGCACTCTACCACTGAGCCACCTTCCCAGCCCCTCTGTATGGTATTATCATAATAAAAAATTAAAAAAAAAAGAGTCTCATGGACTTTCCTGCTGGGGCTGGCTCTGAACCATGATCCTTAGATCTCAGCCTCCAGAGTAGCTAGGATTATAGGCACGAGCCATGGGCACCTGGCTATCAGTACATTTTTGTATATACGTGTACCAGTCCTGGGACTTGAACTCAGAGCCTGAGTGCTGCCCTTTTAGCTTTTTCCCTCAAGGCTGTACTTGAGCCACACCTCCACTTTTAGCTTTACGGTGGTTAATTGGAGATGAGAATCACACAGGCTTTTCTGCCTGGACTGGCTTCAAATTGTGACACTTAGATCTAACCTTGAGTTGCTAGGATTACGGGCATGATCCACCAGCACGCACGCCTACCTTCAATAAAATTTTGTAAATAATACTGTGGTTATAATTGAAAAAGTACATTTCTGTATTTTTACTTAATTTTCATTTAATTTTTATAGTGCTGGGGATTGTACCCACAGTCTTGTACATGCTAGCTTTTCATTGAGTGATCCCTTAGCTCCCATTCATTATTTCTGTGATGTGCTATTTTATTTAGCTCTTACAAATTGTAAGGTAGGATAGTATTACTGGACATTTAGTTGGTTCTTAGAATAAGACTTTAATGAATTCATTATATTTTTGGTATTTTGAAATGTTACAGATCTACTTGGCTCAGATTTAAAAGCAGTTTCTTGTTCTTACTTGTCTGTAAAAGCATAATTTCCATCCACAGACTTGTATTATTCCAGGACACGATCTTAAGGTTAATTATAGCATAACACTGAAACATAATTTTTAATTTAATTTAAAAGAACATGTCTTAGAATTAGTTTTAGGCTGTTACATTGGTTCACTCTTTGTCCTTTGTCTCACCATTTTGTATTCCCTTTCCCTTCCCCTCACCAAATAAACATATACAAGACATAGGGTACCAAAATCAAAAACAGTGACAACAAGGGATAAACCAAAAGAATAACAACAACAAAAAAGAAACAAAAGTAAATAGCTTCACGCAATACATTAAAAAACAAAAACAAAGAAAAAAACCCCACTTGTTTCCATATCTTGGAGTTCATTTCTATTAGCATCCTTTTGTATGGTCATATGCACATAGCTATGGAGCTATTTTGATCCTCTGCTAGGGTGAACCAATGTAACAGTGATACTCATGGCATTATGTTGGAAATGAACATTATGATTTGGGGGGAGGGAAATTGAGGAGGAGGGGAAGTAGGAAAAAAGAAGGGAGGGGTAACTGTTCTACAAGAAATGTATTCATTACCTTACTTATGTAACTAACCTCTCTGACATCACCCTTACAATAACATTAAAAAAAAAAAAGAAGTATTTTAGGCCCTTGAATAGCAAACTCACACAGTTCTTTGGCATTTCCAAATTATCTCATTTCTTTCACATTTCTGAAAGAGGAGTCCTGGCTCTATACCCATAGAACTTGTCTTTGAGTTTTGGCTGTTTCTCAGGAATATGCATACTGACTCACCGGCTCTGAGAGCTCAGCTTCCTTATCTTCAGTGTGTGGTCAGTATTAGTGCCTGCCTTGTAAAATTGTCATTAAGATTGATTGAATTAAGCCACATAAAATATTTAGCAAAATTCATGGCACATGAAAAACACTCATTGAATTTAAGTTGTATTTATTAAGGAGAGCATGCCGTTTAAGTAATAAAGGTAGAAAAAATAGAGACAGGAAGATAAAATTTCAGAATCAATACTTAATTTTGCCAGTATTTTACTTTTTTCAGGAGTCACTATGTAACCCAAAACAAGGATTTGATTGGGATATTTTGGTAAGATTGCAAAATCCCACAACTCTAAAGCATCCTCAGAAGTTGGTGAAATTATTACCTAGGCAATATGGTTTTAAAAATGTGTTTCATTTCATAATTGATCAAACTTTTAAATGGAATAAAGTATAGTAGTAGTAGGAGTATAATTATTTGGATACTTGTTTGAAATAATCAAGTGGTTTTTTTTTTTTTCTTCCTGACAATACTGGGGCTTGAACTCAGGGCCTACATGCTGTCCCTTAGCTTTCTCACTGAAGTCTGGTATACACACCAACTTTCTTTCTTTTTTTTTTTTTGGTCGGTCGTGGGGCTTGAACTCTGGGCTTGGGCGTTATCCTGTGCTCTTCAGCTCAAGGCAAGCACTCTATTGCATAAGCCACAGTACCACTTCTGGTTTATTGGAGATAAACCGGAAGTGGTTTATTGGAGATAAGAGTCTCAGGGTAGTGGCGCTGTAGCTCAAGTGGTAGAGCGCTCGCCTTGAGCTGAAGAGCTGAGGGACAGCGCCCAGGCCCAGAGTTCAAGCCCCACGACCGACCAAAAAAAAAAGAGTTTCAGGGACTTTCCTGCCCAGGCTGGTTTTGAACCTCGATCCTCAGATCTCAGCCTCCTGAGTAGCTAGGATTATAGGCGTGAGCCACTTACGCCTGGCTACACATCAACTTTCTATCTACCCTCCCTCTCTTCCCCCCCCTAGGTTAATTGAAGTCTCACAGACTTTCTTGATCTGTCCTTTAAACCATGATCCTCAGATCTTAGCCTCCTAAGTAGCTAGGATTACAAATATGAACCTCCAGTGCCTGACAAATCAATTTGTAAAAACTTAATCCATTTTTTCTGAGACTAGAGTATGGATAATGAATTATAAGTAACCTTGTCTTTGACTGTCCTTTTGTCTTTTAGTTATTGGTTGCAAGAAGAATTTTAGTTCAGTTCCTTATAAAAATAATGGTAGATTTGGTTCTCTTGATGCTCTAAATTTAGAAAGCTATTGGTTGCTAGTGAGGTTGCCAGCTGGTGATTATTATTTTTGCGTGTGAACTGTTACACAATTTTCAGTTTGTTTCTTATGTTTTAATGGCTGTATTGAATTCAGCTTTAAGAGGTTGTAGGAGTTGTGTTCAATTAGTGTTGTATCACCTTTCTGCCTAAAATAGTCCCATGCAAGAATTAAAACCACTGTTTTCTTTTAAATGGATCTGACTTTTTAAAATAAAAAATATTTTGCTTCTGATGGATTTTATAATAAGTAATTGTATTCCTATGATTCTTGTGTTTGATGAAAAGTATTTGTGTTTAATGACTTTTGAATTGAAGTGGAAATTACTTATTTTTGGTTAAATAAAGTGTTTCTATATAATCTAAGGTTATCTTCTCCCCTCCTCTCATTTTCAGGTTTTGGATGATGAAATTCATGTAGACTTTTATGTAGCTGTTCCTGAAATAATGCCTGAGCTTAATCCTTTAAGGAAGAAACTGAAGAAAAGATATCCAAAGTTTGGTAGAAGTAAGAGGCAATTTTTATTTCAACATGCTATCAGTAAATTTCCTTTTGATTCTATTCAATTGGAAAACAAAGCTGTTAATTTTTATGCAGAACAAATAATGTGTTCTACCTAGTATTTGGGTTTTCTGTTCTAGAAATATGTGCATTTGAATTTTTCTCTTGGCAATAGTATTGATAGTCTAAAGGAATTTGAGGTACTAATTACTTTACAACTTTAAATCATAGTCTAGTTCCAAATGAACATATTACTTACTTAGATATGTTAAAATATTTTATTATGTTTATACTTTATATAAAGTATGTTCATAATTTAAGCATACAATTTCTATATGAATGTATTTATGAATGCATGGCTCAGGGAGTATTTACCCTTAATATTTTTATCTTTACAAAATCCAGTAAGACAGGTAAGAATCATGTAATGAAATGTGGGCTGTTATTTGATAAATTCACAAGGTGATGTGGTTGTTCAGTGGAGGAAGAGTTTACACATAGGTGGGGAACAAGGAAGGCATCATAAAGGATGTGGCATTTAAACTGTAGCCTGAATAAGTGGATGAATTGTTTAAAGGGAATGTTACTTTTAAGTAAAAGGAATATATTAATCATACATTAATCATAGAAGTAAGAAATTATAGGCCAGGTCTAAGAAATCTAAGTAAATTCTCTTTGACTACAGGGAACGGTACCTCTACATTGAGATGGAAAAGAATAGTGGGGAATGGTGTTGGAAAGGTAGATTTATGCTGTGGTGAGAAGGACTTTGAAGGCTGAACTAATAAACTTAGTCTTAGAAGTTTTGTGATATGGTATGACATGATCTATTGTTTTGCGCTTTAATCTGGGAAGAATCTCAGATGCATTGGCATAGATTTCAGCTAGAAGCAGGGAGTTGATTTAGAGGGCAATTTCAAGAGACTGGTAAAGGTCATCTTTAAATGAAGGTTTCATAATGAGATAAGATAGTAAGACTTTTGACCAAGTAGTTAGTAATGGACTGGTTGATGGGAAGAAAGGAACAGTCAAATGGTATTGAGACTAGGGACTTCTCTTAATAAATGGTATCATTAATGGAAACGTACATTTGTGAGGAAAAATAAGTTTACTTACAGAACAGGTTCACTTGCTTAATGTGGCAGTGAATATCTGGTGGAGATAGGAATTATTTTGAATAAAACTTGGTGATCACTATATAGAACAGACACTCTAGAATTTGTTTAAATAGATTTGTCTTGAAGTTACGACTCTAACTGAACTAATTCTTCATACATACTAGCCACTAACAATTGTCTGGAGTTCTATATTATGTATGCTAAAAGCAAATTCAGGTAAGTTTTTTTTTCTTTTTGATATATTGTAGTTTTGTTTATTTGTAATAGCCTACATTGAATCATGTGTCGTAATTAGATATAGGACTGAAGCTTTGAACATGTATTAGGGTTTTCATTGTAGTAGTGTTTGTTGTCATGGAATCAGCCTTATAGTCTTTTGGAAGTAAGACCTGAAATTGAACCTTATTTAACAATTAAACTAGAATTACACACCAGGTACTGGTGGTTCATGCCCCTAGCTACTTGGTGGTTGAGATCTGAGGATCGTTGTTCAAAGCCAGCACTGGCAGGAAAGTCCATGAGGCTCTTATCTCCAATTAACCACCAAAAGGCTGGAAGTAGAGCTGTGGTTCAAGTGGTAGGGCACTAAGCTTGAACAAAAAAACTCAAAGACAGCACCCAGATTCTGAGTTTAAGCCCTAGGACTGGCACAAAAAACAAACAAAAATTGCAGTCAGATTTGATGAAAAACATTTTTATATTTTTTGTTTTTAATTAAATTCAATCAGAGCAAAACAAATAGTTCTAAATATAGCCAGTTAAAGTTGAAATGAATATTGAATATATCTGTTCGTCTAACTCCTTGCTTTGCATAATGAACTGGATTGTCACAAACATTACTTTTGTTACCTTTGCTACTTTTTCATGTCCTTTTAGATTCTATTTAGTCTTGAGTTTTTGTTTTTTTTTTTAATTTGTATATTTTATTTTTTACCAACGTCATCACAAAATTTGAAACTGTTGCTTTTTGGTTTGAAAGATTTTAAATAAATAGTTTATTCCAAATGACAAATGTTCTATTAAAGTGTTAATTCTTATCTGTGGATTTCACTTTATTTCTACTTTCTAATGATTCACACTTTCCATATACCATGGTCAATCACCTATGTGTCCCCCCAATTTGCTTAAGAAAGAACCTTGTAAAAACAGATCATTCCCTTTTCTTTCTTTTTTTTTTTTTTGGTTGGTCATGGAGCTTGAACTCTGGCCCTGGGCACTCACCCTGTGCTCTTCAGCTCAAGGCTAGCACTCTACCACTTGAGCCACAGCACCACTTTCAGCTTTTCCTGTTTATGTGGTGCTGAGGAATCGAACCCAGGGCCTTATGTATGCGAGGCAAGCACTCTACCACTGAGCCACCTTCCCAGCCCTATTCCCTTTTCTAACTTTTGTTTTCACCCCTACATAATCTGTTTAACTGCAAATAGCAAAACATTTGTGTTCTTTAAACATGAAGAAAAACAACCTGTCAAAAATGTTGAAACAATATACCAGATGTGCTTTAGAACAAATAAAGCTTGTATTGTGCATTTTAGAGATTATTCAGATTCTTGTTTAGGAACATTTGATTCCCTTAAAGCCAGCAAAAGACATTAGGGGTAAAATAGAAATTACATTTTGAGCAAGTAGATGAAATGGAAAACAAATAAACAAGCCTGTGCAGCTGAGCTCATTAGTTTCCCATCTTATCTCATTTTCCTAACAGGAGTGGGCATGGCCATATTGGTTGGATTGGATGTATTTTGCAATAGGCTTAATGTTGTGATTTTATTCATTTTCTTATAATTGCTTGTATAACTGTAGACAAGTTCTGTATTTTTCAAGCTCACATCTGGCTTATTTTCTTAATAATTTTGGTTTCATAAGAACTAATTTAAAGATTGTTTTTTAAAACTTATTTTGAAGGAAATTTGGTCTTATTTTGCTAATCACCTTGTTTACCATCTGTAAGTATCCTCTGAAAAATCTTTTATCTCTAATATAGATATGTTCTCTTGATCTTCTAAATAAAATCTTCTAAAAGATTTTATTTCTAGTCTTAATTATTTAACATTTACTAAAAGCTACCAGAAACTATCTTGGACTTAATGGTTTCAGTTTTCTATTATGCATTTTAACTGATGATAAGTACTATGGCATATATAGACATTGTTTTTTAGTTTATTGTTTATTTAGTTTATTGTTGCTGAGACTGGTTTTGTGCATGCTAAGCATGCACTCTACCACTGAGCTGTATTTCCAGTCCAGCTGAATTATTTGAGCTTATGCAAAATTATTGGCAGGTAAAAGAAAGGGAGATAATGAGAAGGTGAGAATTGCACTAATATATATCTCATAACATGTGGCTCTTTGAACCAACACAAGCATTTCAGTTGGAGTGTTGTCCAAAGGATATTCACAGATACACTACTTTCTGTGAGGAATTTGTTATTCATTGTACTTAAGACTCATGGATTGTAAAACCATCCAGATTTAAAATGCTTCCTAAAATAACATGCTGTACTTGAGTACTGCTTGCATTCTTTTAAAAAAGAACTGTTTACTTATAAGAGGAAAAATACAGAAACAGAATTGTTGCATGGAATCTCTTTGAAAGTTTTTTTTTTTTTTTTTAGTATTTTCCCCTCATGGATTAATCTAAAAAATGATCCATGTAGGAAGGAGTCTATCAGTGATTAGGTATTGCTCTAATTACTCTAGATGAATTATGGGTACCTTACAGCAGGTTCTCTTCACTCTTTTTGTGTCTCTCTGTGTGTGTGTTTCCTTTGGTTCATTGTAGTGATTGCCTTGCCTGCACACACACTGACACACACAGACACACAGACACACACACACACATACACACACACACACAGCTCGTCTCTCTGTCTCTCGATCTTTTTTGATCTCTCTCTTTCTCTCTCTTTTCCTCTTTCCTTCTTTTTTAAAGTCATTGCACTTACTGCTCCACCTGCCTGCAGTGCTCTTTGCTTATTTGTCTGGCTTGCTTTCTTAGTCAAATATCTTAAACAAAGAGATCTCCTAATATAAAATATTGAATGGGAAGTGGAGATTAATTTTTCATTATGGTACCTCAGTACTCTTCTTTATAACTTACCCTGCCATTGTCTGTATTTTTTCTTTACTTGTGATGTGCACTTAGTTCTTCCTCTTTTTGTTCGTTTTTGTTTTTATGCCAATGTGAGGGCTTAAACTAGAGTCTCAGCTCTCTCCCTTAGCCTTTTTGTTCAAGGCTAGTGCTCTGTCGCTTGAGTCACAGTTCTACTTCTGTCTTTTTGGTGGTTAATTGGAGATAAAATCTTGTGGCCTTTCTTACCCAGACTGACTGAACTATAATCCTCAGATATCAGCCTGTTGAGTAGCTAGGATAACAAGCATGAGCACTGGTGCCCAGCCCAAATGTGTTGTAATTTTATCTGTTTCTGTATTTTCATGGCCTCACATAGTACCCTGACCCATAGCAAATAGTTTAAATTATTTCTATAGTAAGTAAACATTTAGTGCAGCATTCAGTTTGTAGATATATTGGATTAACCTCGCCATGAAATGTGGTTAATTATAACTTAGATTTTTTTGGAATAATTGTACTAATTATAACTTAGAATTTTTTGGAATAATTGTACTAATTATAATTTAGAATTTTTGGAATAATTGTACTACTAATAATTGTACTATTTAACTTATGCCAAACTTTGGATGTGATGGTGATGGCTGTGAACATGACATATAAGGTCTTTAATATCATGAAACTATCTGTTTTCTTTTCTTCTGTCAGTCATGGAGTTTCAACTTGATGCTTAGGTGCTGTTCCTGAGTTCTTTTTGTTCAAGGCTAGTAAGTTACACCACTTTGAGCCACAGTACCAAATCCTGTTTTCTGGTGGTTAATCAGAGATAAAGAGTGTCACAGACTTTCCTGCCTGAGTTAGCTTTGAACTGCGATTCTCTGATCTCAGCCTCCTGTGTGGCTAAGATTACAGGCATGAGCTGCCAGCATCCGTCGCTGTTTCCTTTTCTACAGTTAGACTGCTGTAATTTTAGCAGTCATTCATGCTCAGATTTATCTAGTTAAAACAAAACTGCAGTTGTCCTTCCAACCTTCATTTGAATCCGTTATCCTTGTTAGCTATAATCTTAGTTCTGTTTCTTGTTTTATATCAGTTTTAAAAATAAGTAGCCTTCAGCAATTGGCTGTCTTTGTCTCCTTACCAAATGTTATTTTTTCTTACAGAAATTCTCATGTAAAGTATGCTCTCAATTATAATAAGAGGTCTCATTTTCCCACATATATATTCAAATGTCATTCTCAGTTTTCTCTGTTTCTTGAAGCTGCTGCATGTACAATCTTCATTAACCTTCTTTGTCACTAACTATTCCATCTTTGTTGTCCTTGTGAAAAGAGAAATGTACATCAGGTTGCAGTACCAGTTCATGTAGTTCAGTATTGGTTATGTTCTGTATGGACACTGAATAGGGAGAATTAGAGGAAAAGAAAGGGAAAGACAAAGAAAAAAGAGAAATAGGAGAGCATAAAAGCATAAAGAGAGAGCAACTATGTAGCTTTAAGGGACAACAAAGTCCTAGAGTAACCATGACAACTTAACATTCGGCTACATTGAAAAACAAAATGGAGTTCTGATTAACATAGATCCCTCAACCTTGACTGTATTACTCACCATGACCTTAAGCAAACTTTTAATATTTCTAATATGTTGCTTATCTACATCTACCCCCATTACTATGGGGGTTCTATGATAATATATGCAAAGCTTTGTATAAACTTAGTATATAAAAAGTTCAGACTATATGTGGACTAATGTTAAACATGATTAACACCCTACAATTCCTAAAGTAGCTTTTAATTCTTCACAATTACTTTAGGAGAATATACTTTTTTCATATCTATATCTCATTTCCTCCTTCAAAACTCATTTGTCAACTAAGTGGACAGTTGTTGAGTATCTATGTGTCAGGCACTGTACTTAGTACTGCAATTGAAAGATGCAGAGACATTTCTCAGTTTTTAGAAGGTACACATTAAGAGATGAGAAATATGACAAACTGCTATGCTAAAATGCAATTATGTATTAATAGAAAATATACAAATTACTGAGAGGAATGAGGAACTAGTTTGTAGAATCAGATTGCTTAGAGAAGATAGCCATTAAACTGAGGGGAGAAGTATGAATAGGCATTTTGTTTTCCTAACGTGCATGGGACTACATACCAGAAAAAGCAAATGGTTTTTCATTAGTGTAAAAAAGTTACGAGTTTTTATGTTCAGGAAATTGTAAGTAGCCTTCTATCATTTGGTACACAAAGCTTTATCAGATAGCTGTGGTTAATGGGGTTAGATAGTGATGGGCAGCTGACCAGATCTCGTAGAACTTTGCATGCCATACTTTGGAGATTAGATTTTATCTTCTTCGTGGATTGGAGCCTTTGAAAACAGTTGCTCAGAAGAGAGAGATAAGAGCCAGGCACTTTGGCTTACGACTGTAATCCTAGCTATTCTGGAGGCTGAGATCCGAGGATTATGGTTCAAAGCCAGTCCAGGCAAGAACATCTGTGAAACTCCAATTAACCACCAGAAAACCAGAAATGGCACTGTGGCCCAAGTGGTAGTGTGCTAGCTTTGAGCTGAAGAGCTGAGAGACAGTGCCTAGGCCCAGAGTTCAAGCCCCATGACCGACCAAAAAAAAAAAAAGGAGAGAGAGAAAATTTCTTTACTGGCATGGCTATTCTGGGCTATTTATAAGTGGTACAGCAAGACTTGAACTGAGACGAGAGTGAGGAGGCCTACTGTACTAGGCTAGTAAAAAGATGCTGGAAAGAACCTGGCCATGGCAATGAAGATAAAGAGGAAGGCTGGTTAGGATATTGAGGAGGTAGGGTTAACAGGAGTAATTGATTAAATATGAGGAAAGAATCTGGAATGATGCCCTAATTTTGGTCTTGAATAGCCTACTGAATATTATTTTAAAGGTAATGATACTAGTAGGAAAGGAGGTTTGGACCTAACAATACTATCAGAAATGAATGGGACAGGAGAGGGGAGAGTTAACTGGTCCAAAGTTATGTATTAGCACAAAGTAGGTTCTGGTAAATGTGCACATTATGACCTATACATTGTAACTATGGTATTAAACTTCAAATTATGAGCTCATTTGTACATTTTTTTAGCAAGCATATGTCACATTTATACCTTTACTAATTACCTGTCTGCATCTAGGTGGAGTTATCAAATAGGTGGTTGGAAACCATGAGAAAGATAGTGACTGAGATGTATGTTTAGCAATTATGAGTGGCTACTTGGCATTAAAGCCATGTGTTTGGATGAGATCACTTAGGGAAATATATGCAAGGATACAGTAGAAGAGGTCAGATGATAAATCTTGAGGTAGTAAAAACTGTGAGAGTCAGCTAAATGAAAATGGCCACTGAGAATGCAGTTGGACAGCCAGTGAGAATGTGTTTTAGAACGTGAACTGCTATTGATGGTCACTCAAACACTGAGAAATGACTATTGCATTGACAGCCTTGATAAGATTATTTTCAGTGAAGCAATGGAAATGACAACCTGATTAAAGTAGATATAAAAGGAAGTGTCCCTGTGGCTCAAAGTGGTAGAGTGCTAGCTTTTAGTGAAAAAAGCTCAGAGACGGCACCCATCTCTAGAGTTCAAGCCCCACAACTGACCAAAAATAAAATAAAGTAGGTATAAGGAAAAATGGAAGAAAGGAAAAGAGACAGAAACGATAGACAGCTTTTTCTTTTTTAAAAAACTTAATGTACTTCAGAAGTGTATTATATGGTTAAAGGAAATGTGAAATATTATTTGAGATAACATTTCATAGAAAACTTTGTAAGCTAATGTGTATTATTAGGAAAGCTGGGAAATTTGGTAGTATAGACAAGAGAAGAAGCAGTATCTTCATAGGTAAGTAGAGGTAGATTCTGTACATAAATGAGGACTGTTTGGTAGAAGCAAAGAGACTTATCTGTAGTGACAAGAAGGAACACAGCATTGTAGATGTATTTATATGTCACCAAATAACTTTCATGCTCAAATACAACACGCTTTTTCTATGAAAATGTAACTGAAAAAATACATCTGTGAGCCAGGCACGGTGGTACACACCAATAATCCCAACACTTAGGAAGTAGAAGCAGGAGGATCACAAGTTCCAGGCCAGGCTGGCTGGAAAAAACCTAAGTAAAGAAGTAGATATGTGAGTAGTTTAACCAGGTGTGTCACTATTAGCATTTTACTGTTTGTTGTACTGTGACGTACTGTTTAATACTCAGCTACATTGGAAAAACAGTGTTTACAGTAATTGTTCTATCTCTGTGCCTCAGACTCCAATTAGATAGTAAGCTTCTGTGGGCAGTTGCTTTTCTTTTTGGCTTATGTGCCCCTGAGGCCATCTGAACATCTGCTCAGCTGTGCTGTGTTCTATATGACACTAGGTTCACATTGTCTCTCTGAAGGAACTCTGGCTGGGGCAGCCATGGGGTGTGGTATCTCCACCTTGGTGGTATCCCCACCTTGTTTCTTACTTTTACTATTCTTAATATTCAGCAGGGGCATCAAAGTGTTAATAGAATAGTCTGAATTTAGCTCCAGGAGATTCAAGTTCCGTTCTTAGGTCTTTTTTTGTGCCATTTTCTCTAGCCATCTGTGTTTTAATGAGCTGCCATAACTCACTTGCTATATAACTTCACGTGGGGTACATGTTTATCACATTCAATAAATTTTGCTACTTGTTGAGATGTTGTGATGATTTTGGATATTTTTACCTTTCTAACCAGATTCCATTGGCCGAGACATTCCCAGAATGCTTGAATTATTTAAAACTGGACATGAAATTATGGTAGATGAAGAAAGAGAGCACTTTCTCAGCACCAAAATAGCAACAGTAAGTGATAGTAAAAATGATCAAATAATTCTCTTTCCTTTTTTTGTTAAAATTTATTAATAGTATTAGATACTACAATATACCAATCATTTAGATTTGCTCTTAAAACTGGCATTAGTAGTGATACTAATGTATACAGAGAAAATTTTATTCTTTAGATTGATCTCATAAATGTTTATGGTACTTAGAAATTTCTTCCTTCCAGAATTACGTGCTATTCACTGACATTTACTTGTGTTTTTGCTATGTTTATCTATTGTAAGATACATGTTTTCTGTTGTCTAATGTTTCACACTTACTAAGAGTAGTAGGGTTAAAATCCTTTATTTCCCTTATAGAATATTGCATAATGTTGAGTGCATAGTAGGTGTTTGATACTATCTAATGGAGTATTTATTTGCTTCATTTTAGTAAGTTATCTTAACTGTTCACAAAATTGTTTGTCTACTTACAGAAGATGTTGGATGTCAGTTTCCAGTGACATCCTAAGACACTAATATAGATATGTCAGTTACAGGACTGTAAAATGTAAAGGCATTAAGAACATTAAAGGTAATTACAGATATGTTCTTTTTATTAAAGGATCTCTCACTTGACTAACAGCTATGCTCATAATCCTGGCTACTCAGGAGGCTGAGATCTAAGGATTATAATTTGAAGCTAGCTGAAGCAGACAAATCCGTAAAATGTTTACTTTCAGTTAGCTACCAAAAAGCCAGAAGTGGAGATGTGGTTCAAGAGGTAGAGCAAAAAAGCCAAGTGATAGCGGGAAACGTAGAGTTTAAACTCCAGTAATGTCATAAAGAAAAAAAAGTCAAGAATCTCTCAAGTGCCTATAAATGAATATGTAAATTTTTTCTCTGTACATAATTATGGGAATAATGGTAGTATTGATACTTCCTGGTATCCAGTACTATTCCAGTACTTCCATATTCTGCTTTGTAGTTCTCAGCATTTGAAAGGTAAAGTTATCTCCATTTGATAGATAAAAGCATGGAAGCTCAAATTGCTTAAAGATATTTCCTACATTTTACAGGTAAATTAGGCAGAATAGGTTCAGCATAGGTTCAGGGAGGGTACCTGCAGGTCCAGGCTCCTTACACCTGTATTATTGGAATAGCTATTGCTCTTCTTTTTTTTCCTCTCATTTTCTCTTAATAGGGATTTTACATTGTTGCTGACACCTCACAGTTTAAGCTAATGGAGCTATGTCCATCATAGATCATGAGAAATCAAGAGAAACTCGCAGCTAGTGTAATGGTGGGGAAACTCCTTAGAAGGAATTTAATGCAGTCAGAGATTAGGAAATTCCTGCTTGCTACATTATCATCAAAGGTGGCACCGATTTACTTGGCTTGAGATCTGCTGGAATCTGATGTTTTTCTTGTTCTCAAATTTTCTCCTGTTCAAAAGCCTTTGGCAGTTTTCTTGATTCTTAGTGTTGACAATATTATAATCTAAAAACTAAACAACCAAGTACAAATTTTAAGGGATTATCCTAGAGCTGCAGAGACTTGAGTTTGAATACCTGTCCTGCTACTTAAGGGATGGAGACTTGAAGCAAGATTCTTAATGCTGTCTCAGATTTCCTTATCTATAGAAGGTGTATAAGGAGACCCATAGCACTTGGTGTTTAAAAATAAGATCAATTTTAAAATGCTAGTGCGTAATATATTATTTTGGTTGTTTTTGGGGAACAAAGAGTACTTGAGAACCAAAGACTCTTAAACTGGATTAAATCTGCCTTATTTTCAGTATTTTTAGTAGTGTGAGTCTACATAGGTCCTGGAGTTGTACTTTATTCATGTTTTCAACAAATACTATAATGATTAAGACAGGCTCTGAAGCAGACTGCTTGGATCTTTGGGGGACAAATGTATTGATGAAAAGGACGTTAATCTACTTGTTTATGGAGAATACTACTTAAATATTGTAGTGGAAAATTAATAAAGTGGATTTTAGATTCATACTGACATGGTTTAAATCCTCGTTTCATAAGTCCACCACTTTGCTTTCTAAGCCATTGTTTTCCTGTTTTCCCATTTCCCTCACAAGTAAAGTGATAGTAATGATTAGTATTACCTTGGCTAGAGAGAATTTATCACTGTCTATATTTCTGGTTGAGATAAAGTAACTAGGCCTTAATGCGCTGAGTAGTAACCTGATATCAAATCTAGATTGTACCGCCAAAAACCAACAACAACAGATAAATTACGGGTCATCATTCATATCTCAAAACAATAAGATGAAGAAGGGGCTATCACACACCTGTGTTAGTTCAGCTGTTTTAAAGGAACCAAATACCAGTGACTTAACCACGATAAAAAGTTAATTTTCTCCTAAGTTGAACTGGTAGGCAGCTCAAATGCTTTGCTCTTCAGAGTTGTGTAAGGATCAAGGGTTTCTTCCCTTTTGCTATTTGCCATCTTCAAGACTCTTCGGGTTTCTGTTCTTGTCGTTCATTGTCAGGTCTGACTCACAATCTGAGCGAAGGAGACAAAGTGACACTTTGAATGATGGAGCTCCATCTAAATGGTTCAAACATCTGAACCACTGTTGTGTGTGTCCTTGCGAACTTTGTCCCTATCCACAGGCCAGACCTTAGTCACATGGCTTGGTACTCTGTGTAGTGCCTAACTGGTAGCCATATGCCCACCTTTACTTTCTTTTTCTTTTTCTGTTGCCAGTCCTGGGGCTTGAACTCAGGGCCTGAGTGCTTTCCCTGAGCATTTTGTGCCCAAGGCTAGCACTCCACCATTGAGTCACTGCTCCACTTCTGGCTTTTTGTTTGTTTGTTTATTTATTGGAGAGGAGAGTCTCACAAACTATCCTGCTGGGGATTGCTTTGAACTGTTACGCTTAGATCTTAGCCTCTTGAGTAGTTAGGACTAAGAGTGAAAGCTACCAGCTGGTGTTGCTGAGTTCAAGCTTCAGGACTGGTACAGAAAAAAAGAAGTAACAGTTAAGATTTTACTCTAGCTAAGCAGGAACTAAAGAAACCTAAAAGAATAAGAACATAAAGACAAGAAATTTTATTCATTTTTTAAATTGTTGTGTGCCTAACTCCTAAAAGTACAAAAAGTACTCAATAATTGTCCAAGGAGTTAGTTAAGTGAGTAAATATTCATAAACAAAGTCTGTCAACTGAAGGTCAGAAATCATTAAAAGTCATTCTAATGTAAATTATGAATCAATGGAAAACATGTTTATAATGTTGTTTTATAATGTTTAAAATGTTGTTTTCTAAAGATTGATCCCAAACTTCAAATTATCCTTGTGGATAATGCAAATGAAGTAATACTGTACTTGATAGAATTTAATAAGGTAAAAGTAAGAATCAAGAATCTTGTCCACTGTTCATTATAGAAATGCTCAGCTGGTTGTATTTTTTGATGTTATATAAGGAAATTAAACTGTCTACATATTGAAGCATAAACTTGTCAGACTTTGAAGTAATTTTCAAAGGATGACTTAGTGTTTTATAATATACCACAAATCCGTTTTATGTTAGTTGTGAGACTCTCAGAACATACTTTCTTTTTTCTTACAAAGAGTAAGTTCAGCCTACTTTTCCAGAACACTTCAAAGTATAATTAAGGCCATTTGCATTTTTGATTGGTTTGCTTGACTTACGTCTCATTATAAGGTAAAAGTTCTTTCTGATTTTCTGTTGGTATTGACTATCCCATTTCTCAGAGGCACACATAATTTGTGAAAACTTAAGTGTTTTCTTTTTTATCACCTCCCTCCCTTTCTCCTATAGGGTCTTTTCTTTTCTCCTCTCTCTTCCTCTTTCTCCCTTTTTAATCTCTTTGTGAATGTTGACTACTTCACATACTTAACAATCTTGATAACGTAGTTGAGGTTTCATTTGCTGAGAACAGGAAGTCAAGAAATAGAACTTATGAATTGGGGAAAATGATGAAAGTAATAAAATATTGATATATTAGGTGGTTAGCATTTGTCAACAAGAGGCCATGATGGTAATTTAAATTAAAGAAAAACTTGAAATATATTTGTTTGTATATGGTATTTAATACATAATAAATTGTATGTTTCTTATTGCCTAGTATGGCAAGAGAAGAGCCTATAAATGTTTTGAAGTAGCAAGTAGCTAACTTTTATGTCTGAATCCAGTTGAGTAGAATCTCACCTATGTAGTTTTATGCTTTTTGTTTGTTTGTTAGTTTTGTTTTTTGTCAATCATGGGGCTTGAACTCAGGGCCTGGGTGCTGTATCTGAGCTTTCTTGCTCAAGGTTAGCACTCTACCACTTTGAGCCTCACCGCCACTTCCAGTTTCCTGGTGTTTAATTGGAGATAAGAGTCTCATGGGCCTGGCTGGGCTGGCTTCCAACCACAATCCTCAGATCTCAGTAGCAGCACTTGCTGTTTTATGGGGCCCTAGGGCTCTTTCCTAGTTTCTATCAGGGCTAGCACTCTACCACTTGAGCTACACCTCTATTTTCTGCTTTTTGCTAGTTAATTAGAGATATGCATCTTTTTTTTTTCAGTCTCATGAGTAGCTAGGATTATAAGCATGAGCTACAAGTGCCCAACTTGTGGGTTTTAGATTTAGATTTTCAAATCAATTCTGACTGAAAGTCTTTGGGATTACAAAAGTTAGAAAAAGATTGAGGTTAAAAATAGACTTGTATTGATAGTGTCCACTAGATCTTTTAAGGGTGCATTGTACTATGAAATCTACTTAGTTTCAAGGCCTTTCCTTCTTCCTTCCTTCCTTCCTTCCTTCCTTCCTTCCTTCCTTCCTTCCTTCCTTCCTTCCTT